TGTTTTTTTTTTTACATTTAACTCATATTCTAGTAGAACACCTGTAAATGAGAATAATATGGGCCTTTTAAATTTATCAAGACTTCATCTGGATTTTACATTTTAGATAAATCATCACTAAACTCTTTTTAAAAAAACTTAACTATCAAAAAGTTTTTAGTGATGTCTTTCAGCATAACGGATCATCACTTGATTTTGATGACGTGTGTAAATAATGGTTAGCTGCTAGGCAATTTTTTTTTCTCGACCATGGAGATATTATAACACAGAAACACGCAACATGAAAGTAAAATTGTATTGAAAACCATTTGCACTGAACTGAAAGAGAACTCTTTTCTTGTTCTCTGCTTCTCTTTTATTATTCGGTTTTGCAATACTGCAAATATTGACCCTTGTACAGAACGTTTTTTTGTGATGTTTCTTCACTTTGAATAAAAGTGTGTTCTGAATGATTAAATGGAATGTTACATTTTAAAGACTATTTTGGCTGATTAGATTATCAGTATATTTATATAATTTAGCCCATTTCTTTAATTTCTGAAAGATAAAATAATAATTTTTCAGTAATATCAATAGTAATTAATTACATTACTTCTTTGATGTATACTCTTATTTGGTGTAAAATGGTATCTTTTCAATTGATATAGTTGTCCCTTACCATTTGGGGCATTTGTTGCACTCTTACATTTTTTTTTTTTTATTAAAGCTGCAGTCCGTAAGTTTTGCCTCTTTGTCGCCATCTCTGTTTGAAAACCTGGAATTGCAGCTGTGTGCGGAATTATCTTCCTTGCATGGGTTGTGAGTCGGCACGGCTCCAGCGCGGATGAATCTAATGTTCTGACTGCAGGATCCTCACATGCGATAGCCTAGTAGCCGGGACAACTTCTTTATGTTTACAGACGTGACGTAATGACGCAGTGCCATGCTCGAATTTCCCGCGAAAACCTACCCGTACCACTCAAATTAGAAAACATTATTATAAGCTGACCGTTGTGAATCGGGCTAAAGTAAGGCGATAGTTTTGAACACTGGCTGGTTATGTACTTGCTCAAATATTGATTTCGGATCATTTTTAACCAAAAAAAGTTACGGACTGCAGCTTTAAATATTTCAATCTTAAGACTTTTTCTGTGTAAATATTAAATTTTTATTGTACTTCAAGTTTGTTTTATATTTTGTCTGTGAAACATCCACCTGTTCCATCTCTCTTCTAGATCTTCCTCTAGACTTCAAGTTCCAGAGATTCTCTTCAGATAAGCCCATCACGACAGGTTATTACCCCAGACCTCCAGACTCACTGCTGAAATGGGAAGAGAACTAGTCCCAAACCCTCACGCCTGTCAGCATAGGCCAGGAGGTTGTTTCACCGTTACGTTCTGGAGCTTCACCACAGAGCTAGACCATCCATTCGTCCAATCAGTGATAAAGCTGTGTGAATGTAACACCCAGAGCACCCAGAGTCTGTGTATTTTCTTCTCACCCCTTCCTGAATCACTACAGTATACACAGTATGAAGTTGTGTCTGTACACGTGCTGAAATATCCGTACATTGATCATTGGATGTAGGAGGAAGTCACAGTGTATTGTGTCTCACCCAGCGTCGTGCACTCACTACCATTAAACTACTTTTAATGGTGTACAGAGAAAAAAAAAACGTAGCTTTCCCATGAGCTCTGTGTGTTTTTTTGTTTTGTTTTGTCCTGTTTTTATGAAGGGAATGTTATATGACCTCAGAGGATTTGTTCTTGCAGCAGCATAGGCCAGGAGGTTGTTTCACCGTTACGTTCTGGAGCTTCACCACAGAGCTAGACCATCCATTCGTCCAATCAGTGATAAAGCTGTGTGAATGTAACACCCAGAGCACCCAGAGTCTGTATTTTCTTCTCACCCCTTCCTGAATTACTACAGTATACACAGTATGAAGTTGTGTCTGTACACGTGCTGAAATATCCGTACATTGATCATTGGATGTAGGAGGAAGTCACAGTGTATTGTGTCTCACCCAGCGTCGTGCACTCACTACCATTAAACTACTTTTAATGGTGTACAGAGAAAAAAAAACACAGCTTTCATTTGAGCTGTGTGTGTTTTTTGTTTTGTTCCGTTCTGTTTTTATAAAGGGAAAATGTTATATGACCTCAGAGGGTTTGTTCTTGCAGCTGTTGTAAATGCTTTCTGAGGAAAACAGGCACAAATTATATTGAATATTCATGCAATCAAGAAACAGCCATGCGTTCTTTGCTCCTTTTGTGATTGGTTGATGTTTTGAGAGTGTTGTAAACTGCAAAGTTTTGTTACAGGTTCAGATCTGGGCCGGTTTATTATAGAATAATGTAATTTGTTTTACTTTCCATCATTTGATTATGATTTCAAGTACTTTGGTTTACTGTAGTTTACTGTATTCTGCAGACGTTTCTGTGATATATGGGAAAATGGACATCATTCTTCCAAGCGCCAGTGCTAAGAGGAATAGTTTACCCAAAACTAAAAAAAACTGTCATGATTTATTCACCATCACGTTGTTCAAACCATTGAGCTGTTGATGGAACATAAAGGCATTGCTGAGGAATCTTCACACAGCTCTTTCCATACAACGACAGTTCATAGTGACCACATATGTCAAGCTCAAAAAAGTACAGAAATAAAAGCAAATTAATCTAGCCTGTATGAATCATGTGCTACAATTCAAGTCTTCTGATGCCACAAGAAGAACATTTGTTGTTATTTATTGATAATTTTTCCCTCCAATGAGTTGTTATAGAAACATTGTCTTTTAAAAGAACTAGTTGATCCAGTAAATGATGTGCTTATAATCAGACTGATCTGTTTAACTTGCAGACTTGATGATCCAGTTACAGCAGTTCTCGAGTTAACAGCTCACTGACGGGAAAGTTTATCAGTGGAAACAAGACTCACATTTTGTTCTGTTTCTCGCACAAAACTATCATAAGACTTGAAATACAGCAAATAAGTACTATGTATGGTTTAGATGTTTCAAGGAAGAAAGAAAGCCATACAAGTTTGGAGCAACACAAGGTGAGTAAAGAATTAATTTCCATTCAGTGGTGAACTATTCCTTGTAAATGCATTTTGTTTCAGGTCCTCATTGTTATTGAATGAAGAGGGGTGATTTTTTTTTTCTGTGTAATGTAATGTTATCGTAGCATTGTGTAAAAAAAAAAAATGTGCTGCTGTTGGGTGATAGTCAATGTAAACAGTCAGTTTCTGTCATGCACAGGACCAGTGTTGAATGGTGCCAAGCTTTACCCACCCATTTAATGATTTTATGTGTCAGGGCACATCTCTCACCTAAAACCTCTTATTTGTTTCTTGTGTGTGCTGGCCCTGAGCTTTAATAACGTTTTGTTTAAAGCAATGTAAGTGGAATTGATGTTTTTATGTTGAGTGCTCTGATGAGGTTTCTGCAGTGGTAACCAGCTGTAATGGATTTTACATAAAAATGGTACAGTGTTAAAACACACTGCATGATAAAGGTTTTACAGAGATGCCCAAAACTGAGTATTAAGTGACACTAGGCAGCTTCATCATGGGTAGAGAAGTGTGGAAATCCTCATCATAAGCATGGCCTGCTTCTCTCAAATTAAAAGAAAATGTCTTTTCTTCTGTATGTGGTGAGTAGCACTAGTGCTTGTTTATTGAGTGCAGGGGAAAGTGTTAATATGTGCAGATAAAATAAAAAAGAAAAAAATTGTAATCAGTGTTTAAGAGATTTCATGTGTTGTTGCTCCTGATTTCCATTGCCTATTAGCAAATTATGCAATATTAATGTTATAATGTTAAAGGTGACATATCATGAAAATCGGACTTTTCCAGGTTTTAAGTGCTATAATCAGGTCCACGGTGCATCTACCAACCAAGGAAACGTGAAAAAGATGAACCCAGTAACTTTGTTTTGGTAAGCCTTTTTCTGCAAGCATCTGAGAAAATGAGTGCGTCTGATTTTGCTCCCTTGGTGATGTGGCAAAGGGATCTCATTATAATATTACCGGCCCTTAATCTATAAGTTTCCACCCACGCCGCCATTATTGTGTTTTCGCAAACGACAACAGTGTACTAGTTCTAATGCCATAGCGAAAGTTTGAGCAAAACATGCTAACTGTTTTGTCATTGGCTGAACAGACGAGCACAGAACAATAAAGTCCCAGCCTCAGAGGAGACAAGAGAGCAGTGGATTTATTGTTTTATTTAATGTATATTGCTGCTGCCACACAGATCTAAAATAAACATGCGATTTAAACCCAGCTGTTTACCTTCACAGACATAACCGACTGTTCCCTTTTGATACTAAACTCTTTGCTAGACGCTATGGGAAAAATTCATTTTTTTCTCCTGAACTGAAGCCTTTTTCAATCACGCAGTGAAACTGCACGGCCATTGGTTCGTGCAGTATGTTTTTAAAAAACGAACCAATGGCTCGGCAGCGGTACTGCACAAACCTATGGCAGCGAAGCCCGCCAAGCCCGCGTAGTCATCTGGCTATATAAGCAGCCGATTCGCCATAGGATTCAGATTTCTTCTCCTTCAGCGATGACGACGTTCTTCGCGATCTCCGCTGACTGAAGAGCCTGCTCGCCGTTGACACGTCTCAGCAGTGGATTAAGCTGGACCAGCGACCTCTCTGCTCGGCTGATTTGCCGCTCCTCCCGCTGCCTTCAGCGTCGTAGCAGCAGAGATTCCAGCTAATTCCCCTGCCGCCATCCGGCGAGCCTAAAAGAGCTTATTTCTAAGAGGTAAGTTCTTAAAAAAGAAAATGTTCTGGTGATGTTGTTGCAAATGTCACGCTGTGAGTGTGGCTCATGCAGGAAGCCCTGCAGAATGCAGAGGAGTAGTGAGTGCGTCGCCTGTCTGGGCAGCCCCCACGCAGAGACTGCACCTCACTGAGACAGAATGCTCTCGCTGAGAGCAGGAGTCTCACCCCTCTCCACTCGCACCTCGCCTTCTAACGAAGGCAGACCCGCTCTCTCGTTTCTCCTCTCTCAGCAAAGCTCGAAGATAGAAACAGCAGAGCCACGGGTCTGGGCAACCGTTGAGCAATCGCACACCGGCACAGAGCCCGCGTGCCCGCACTCCCCGCTGCACTTTGATCCGCCGGTGTGTTTTACACGTGAGAATCAGCGCCCCTCGTTATATCGAGCGGCTCTAACCTCCTGGGTGGATCAGAACACTGTCACCTCTCTATTGTTGACAGCTTCGCATTGTGTGTGCTGAAGCTGCGCTCAGACAGGCTGCTTTCATTCTAAAGCCCCAGTCTGTTCCTGCTTCGCTCGCTGGTCCCCTCCCGCTCTCATGTTTCTCCCCCTCCCGTTTACCTCGGAGAAAGAAACGGCGAATTTGCGGTTTGAGTGATCAGGTTTGAGTGATCTTACGCTGACACACATCCCGCATGCCTCGCTTGATCCACCAGTGTGTGTGTGTGTGTGTTACACGCGAGGATCAGCGCCCCTCATTACATCAAGCGGCGCAGCTTCGCATTTGTGTGTGTGTTGCGGAGGCTACTTTCACTTTTGAAGCGTGAGTCTGTCCCTGCTCTCGCGTTTCTCCACTCCCAGTTACATCGGAGAAAGAAACAGCGAATGTGCGAGTTGAACGATCGGGCTTGAGTGTTTTTTTTACGCCGGCACGTCTCCCGCGTGAGTCACACTTCACGCAGCTTTTTGATCGGCCAGCGTGTTTTGCACGTGAGGATCAGCGCCTCTCGCTTTCGCGTTTCTCCCCTCCCAGTTACATCGGAGAAAGAAACAGCAAATGTGCGGGTTGAATGATCGGGCTTGAGTGTTTTCTTACGAGCCTGTCTCGGAAGCCCCCACGCAGAGACTGCACCTCACTGAGACAGAATGCTCTCGCTGAGAGCATGAGTCTTGCTCTTCTCGCACTTTATGAAGGCTGACCTGCTCTCTCGTTTCTCCTCTCTCAGCAAAGCTCGAAGATAGAAACAGCAGAGCCATGGGTCTGGGCAACCGTTGAGCAATCGCACACCGGCACAGAGCCCGCGTGCCCGCACTCCCCGCTGCACTTTGATCCGCCGGTGTGTTTTACACGTGAGAATCAGCGCCCCTCGTTATATCGAGCGGCTCTAACCTCCTGGGTGGATCAGAACACTGTCACCTCTCTATTGTTGACAGCTTCGCATTGTGTGTGCTGAAGCTGCGCTCAGACAGGCTGCTTTCATTCTAAAGCCCCAGTCTGTTCCTGCTTCGCTCGCTGGTCCCCTCCCGCTCTCATGTTTCTCCCCCTCCCGTTTACCTCGGAGAAAGAAACGGCGAATTTGCGGTTTGAGTGATCAGGTTTGAGTGATCTTACGCTGACACACATCCCGCATGCCTCGCTTGATCCACCAGTGTGTGTGTGTGTGTGTTACACGCGAGGATCAGCGCCCCTCATTACATCAAGCGGCGCAGCTTCGCATTTGTGTGTGTGTTGCGGAGGCTACTTTCACTTTTGAAGCGTGAGTCTGTCCCTGCTCTCGCGTTTCTCCACTCCCAGTTACATCGGAGAAAGAAACAGCGAATGTGCGGGTTGAACGATCGGGCTTGAGTGTTTTTTTTACGCCGGCACGTCTCCCGCGTGAGTCACACTTCACGCAGCTTTTTGATCGGCCAGCGTGTTTTGCACGTGAGGATCAGCGCCTCTCGCTTTCGCGTTTCTCCCCTCCCAGTTACATCGGAGAAAGAAACAGCAAATGTGCGGGTTGAATGATCGGGCTTGAGTGTTTTCTTACGACT